CCCTGGATGTTCTCAAGTTTCACTGCGGTATGACTTTGAACAGATTTTAATTTATTTTTGCTGCTTGATATTAGAGTGTAATTTTCATCTGAATGAAGAATTTTGACTCTTTCAATTCCAGAAAACTCTTATCCTTTTTAACTTTTTTTTTTTTAACCTAAGTCCTGGTTTTTATCTTATTCTGAATTTCCTATTAAGTACACATTGGTCACCTCAACAGAGTCTCCGTTATTCCTAATAGCTCTTTTATATATATATTTTTTTGTCTCTTTATGCTGCATTTTAAGGAAGGCCTCAGTACTTACATTGTACTCACCTCAAAATGTTCCAAAAAAATAACCATCAACTCCTGCCATCACCATACCCTATTCTCCAAACTATTTCTCCTCTTTTCTTCTTTACTTGAATTAGTGGTGTTATCTATCAGAAATCCTGATTGCTCCTACCAGGCTCATCTTCTGCTGATCCTTCAAACTACTACCAGAGCAATTTTTTAAAGAGTACAATTTTGAGCATATTAATCCCACTGTTAAGACAAATATGTGGTATCCCACTGACCTGCAAAAACATGGCTTAGAAGTCACTCAGGATATGGTCACAGCTTACTCCATGGGCGTCAGATACCTACTGTTTTCCGATCATACTTTACTTTCCAGGTGTTCATTCATTCAACATGCATTTTTATGTATGGAGTACCTGTAATGCGCTGATTACTTTCTGGGTGTTGGGATACTTCAATAAACAAAGTAGGCAAAAAACAAACAAACAAACAAAAAAAACTCTCTTCAGGGAACTTAGTAGAAGAGGTAAATAGTAAACAGATTAAGTGTATAATATGTCAGAGTAAGTGTGAAGGAAAAAAAAAATAAAGCAAGAAAAGGAGGGTGCTGGGAAGATAAGTGATGCATGTTAAATTGAATGACCAGAGAAGGTTTTTTAGTGATAGTGATGTCTGAGTGAAAACTTGAAAGAGTTGAGGGTGCAAGTATTGAACCTACTAAAAGAAAGAACATGGAAATCAGGAGGAATATCAAATGTAAAGATCTCTTTTAAAAAAAAATTTAGCTGAAGATGGACACAATACATTTATTTATTTATTTATTTATTTATTTTTAAATGTGGTGCTGGGCATTAAACCCAGTGCCTCACACGTGCTAGGCAATCGCTCTACCACTGAGCCACAACCCCAGCCCACAAATGCAAAGATCTTGAAGTGGAAAATATACCTGACTTTTTAAAGAAACATTCAGGATATCAATATGTCTGGGCAGATTTGAGAAGGAAGGAAGTAGGAGATGAGGTCAGAGAAGTTCCCAGGACATTAAATCATTGAGCCTTGTAGGCCATTGTAAGGCATTTGGCTCTTGCTCTGAAGTAGATAAGACTCCATGGGAGGGTATTAAGCAGAACAATGACATGATCTAATTTCTGTTTTGAAAGGATCACTCTGTCACTATGTGGAGAACAGACTGGAGGAGGACAAGGAAGCAAGGAGACCCGTCAGGAGGCTATTGCAAAAATCCAATCTTGAAATGAAAATAACTTGGACGAGAATGGTAGCAGTAAAGGTGGTGAGACAATCAAATTCTGGATATGTTTTGCAAGAGTTAAACAAAAGCGTTGTGCTAATTACTGTTTTAGGTCCTGGAGATACTTCTAGGACCTAAGTAGACAAAAACCTTATCAGGATTGACTGATCAGTTGGATGAAGGATGTGAAAGAAAAAGAGGGGGTTGCGGCTGGGGTTGTGGCTCAGTGGTAGAGCGCTTGCCTGGCACGGTGTGAGGCACTGGGTTCAATCCTCAGCACCACATAAAAATAAACAAAATAAAGTCCATTTACAACTAAAAAATATTCTTAAAAAGGGAGGGGAGTGAAAGTGTGTTGAAGGGTTTTAGCCTGAACAACTAAAAGTAGAATTAGCTTGATGGAAAACAGGTTTTGGAGGTAAAGAAGGGGAGATCAGTTTCAGAGTACGAACATTTAGATGCCTATCAGACCTCCTCTTGGGGATGTCAAAAGAGCATACAGGCGTGAATTTGGAGCTAGAGATACATGCTTGAAAACAATCATGTATTCGCAATATTTAAAGCCGTGAGAGTGGATGAGGTTAGCTAGGAAAGGATCCTTGATAGAAATGAGAGGAGATTCAAGCACGGAATCTTAGACTACTAAAAATGACTAAAGAAATTAGGAGGAACTGGCAAAACAGACTGAAGGGTCTCCATCAGGAAGTAGGAAATCAAGAGAAGAGAGTGTTTCAAAGGTTGGAGTGATTACTCTGTCAAATGCTATTTGTGGACTAAGAATTAGCTATGAGGATACGGAGCTCATTGATGACCTTGATGAAGACCTGTTAGGTGGAGAGGTAGGGAAAAAAGATTTATTCTAGTGGATTTAAGAGGTCATTGGATTTGTATACCCATGTTCATAGTAGTACTATGTCCAACACAGGTCTCATTGGGAGAAAATCAAGGTGTTGAGAAGACTGTTCCTTTCTGGAAGCTCTAAGGGAGAATAAATTTTCATCCATTTTCCAGCTTCCAGAGGCCACCTGCATTCCTTGGCCTTCTTTCTCCAACTTTAAAGCCGACAACATCGCCTCTTTCTGAATATGCTTCCACATATCTCTCTGATTTCTTCTGCCTCCCCAGTTATGGGATACATTATATAATCCAATACACAGAGAACCCAATAATGCAGGAGAGGGCAGAATTATTGGTATGACATGAGCAAGAAAATGGAGGAACTGAATTTTTTAGGAACAAGGAAAGTAACTCTCTAGTGTAAATAGGAGAGGTGGGAAAGGACATCTGGGGACAGATGTTAGCTGGTGAGCAGATGTGATGGGTAGGAGCTTGTGGGAGTCATTTATTTTCTCAGTGACTTATGAACAAGTTCATCAGCTGAGAGTGAGGATGAGGCAGAGGGTGTTACAGGTGTGAGAGAGGTTTCAAAACTGACATCTAAAAGAAAAAGAGCATGCGAGGACTAGCGAAAAACATCATGAGCACCACGGGCCCACTTGAGTCTGTGATCACTACAGTTTGAGTTGAATGATACTCTGTCATTGTTAGCTGTCTTATACATGACACCCTCTATAACTCTGCATCCTTATCTACTAAACCGGCCCACCCCCTGTTTAATTTTAAAACAGGGTAAACCACAGTCCCCACCACAGACCTAGGCAATGCAGTTGCTGTGTAATACCAGTTGATTGCGTAGAAGACAGACAAGACAATTATCTGACACTAGAAGAGCAAAAGAAATGTATCTTTCAAGTTGAGAAGAAAACCGAACTGTTCACTTCCTTATGATCTGAAGGTTTTTTTTTTTTTTTTTTTTTTTGCCCCTGACTGAGAGGACGCAGGTGGAAGACCATCTTCACGGTGATAGGCCACCACCCAGTGGAGGTGAGAAGCACTGCAGGTGCGTGCTCTGCCGCCCTAGACAAATGACAAAAACACATGACTGTTCCCTTCCTACGGAGCCTTCTGGAGTGTGCACTGCCACTGCTTGCCATTCAGCTATGTCTTCTCCTTCCCGGATGAGTCACTAGGGACCCTCTTAAATCCATGGCTTCCCAGGATCTGCCCTTGAAGATTCTGACTCTGTGAGTTGAAGATGTAGCACCCAACTATTTGTATTTTAAACTAGAACCCCATGATTCTTTTTGTCAAGGAAGTCTAGACAAACAAATCACCTTTGTTTCAGTCATCTACAGAATTGGGGCAATTTCTTTCTCTCAGTGACTTAACCTTTAAGTTAACTTTGAGTCTGTGTGTGTGAGATTACACGTGTGCAACACCACGCCCAACACGGAATGTGTCATAGGGTAATGCTCCCGAGTTCCTGGAAAGCACCTGGATCTTACAAATATTTAGAATATATTACATCGCAGCATTTAGGTATAATCTTCCTTTTCATTTCAGATTAATGATTCAAGTCAGAGTCAGCTTTGAAGGTGAAGACCACAGGGTAACCCCAAACTTCAGAACTGTGTTGGTTACAAGAACCAAACTAGTCACTGGACCTTAGTGCCAGGGTGATGGGCTGAGTGTTCCCGGATCCAACACAATAGGTTCACCGATGAGGTCAGAAAGCTGAGTAACAAGAGGCATTGTTAAGAAGCCAGACTAGACAAAGAGCGCTGAGAAAAAAAAAAAAAAAAAAAAGACCCAACTTTATATTCCTATTTCCACCAAGCTGCAAGTCCTCATTATAGGAAGAGGTGAGGCAAGAGTCACCTTCCTGCCTTCCTCGGGCTCTCCTCGTTAATCATGGTCAGAGGGGAAAATAACAGCTACTGTTTCTTAAGAGGGAGGAAATCTTCAGCCACGCATGACCTTAGGAAGTCCGTCAAGAGTCAAAAAGATAAATAGACACTTGGCTGGGGGCCCTTAGGACTTCACAATGTTTCTCCTTGTGTGGAAGGGGTGGACTCTTCATAAAACACTGCATAACGTGACCAAACAGCCCGCAAGAGTCTGTTCAAGGGCCTACACGAACAGTGACGAGAAGTGGCCGCAGAACCGGACACTGCGCGGCTCAAGGCAGCCGCTACGCAGGCGCACTGGAGCCCAGAGGGAGCAGCCGGGCCCTCGGGGGCGGAGCAAGGGCTAGTCACGTGGGCCGCGCTGCCCTCTCGACGATTTCCCTACAAGGACTTAGGCTGTAGGACCCCGCCCCTCGCCGTGCTCTGGAATGTGCCGAGAGGCAAAGCCACAGGACAGACTCAACCATACGCAGACATGAGAGGGGGGAATAGGAACACTTTCAATCAAGTAGAGATACACCAAAGACGGAAGCTCAGTAATCAGACCCAGCGAACCATTACACATTCCGTTATGTTTCAAGTCCCTTTCTTTATGCTTCCTACCGGTGCACTCGGTCAGTATCTCGCCGGCTGACCACCCTAGCAACTTCCCTCCTAGGCGCCTTTGCATTAAGTCGAGCCCACTTTGTGGGCAGAGAATGGTGACTGTGCTTCCTTCCGGTTTGCAAAGCGGAGACCGGAAGTGTTGGTTTTCACAGGCTCTGGGGCAGAAAGGTGGTGATAGAGGCAGCGAGGGATTCGCTAAGGTGCTTGGTTCTCGTGGCTGTGTAGGGTGAGTGATGCTCGCGGTCGGGCGCGTGAGGCCGGTTCCTGGGGCTCATCTCCGCGGGGCCGCGGGGAGGGCAGCGGCGCTCCTCGCCGTGGGATCCCGGCGCCCGGAGCGCACCTGGGCAGGTGTGCCAGCCGATCCCGGGTTTTCAGTCCAGCGGCCAGCTGTGGAGTCGAGGGCCGCGGTCAGAAGTGGCCCAGATGCCAAACTTCGCTCCTGTGCTGAAACTTGTATCTCGGAAAATGTGGCTTAGCTTGCTGGCGCCTAAAGCTTGGGTGTCTGCCGGGCCCGCGAAACCCGAACCCGGCAGAGCTGACTCTGGGATCTAAGTTTAGTTTCTAACGTAAACTTGCCCGATTCCAGGGAGTTTGCGCTAAAATCGTGGCCCTCCCCGCCCAGCCTCCGTCCTCCCTCCGGTTGCAGCTGTTGTTTAGGAGGAATAACCAACTCAAATCGCAGCGCGATGTCCATTTCTGTAATTAGAACTTTTTTTCTAATTATAATGATACTTGGCAGAGAGGAGTGTTGGGGTTTAGTTTGCAGCTTAAACCCCAAAATGACAATTTCCCTTTAGGGTGGAGACACTGGGCTAAGTCAGTGTTTCCTTTGTAGGTAGTTTAGTAAGTATACGAAAGTACATGCCAGTTCTTTAGAAAGCTTCAGAAAAGAAATGTGGGTTCAATTAAGATTTTAACATTTTTAAGTAAGAAGTTTTATTTCTAAAGGTGAAGAAGGCAAGTGTTGATTAAAACTACTGGTGTTTGTTTCGTGTTCTGGAAGGCCTTTGATAAGAGTTAACCAGAAAAGCATTTTATTTTAGAAAGAGGCTTTACTGCCAAATCACCCCTGACAACTAATTGTCTTTGTCAAGTGGCAAGAACTTTTGGGTGTGGCAGTCGAAGAGAACTTTTCTGACTTCCAACCGGAAGTTTTTGTAAGAAACAAAAACTTGGTTTAGTTGGAACGGAAAACCCAACTTGCAAATATACTTTTAAAAACTGAGTTAGCACCAAAAAATAAATCTCTTAGTTTGAAAAAAAAAAAAGGTACTCCGAGATATGAGATATATGATCTGGATTTTCACACTCTGCAGTTTTAAGATAGGAAATTTTCATCAAAGGTTATAGTACATTCCCCAGAGTATTCTTAATATAAGTGTTAGTTCTATAGAAAAAGTTTCTAGATTATTTTACATTTATTATCGCTGTAGAAATGCAGAACTCCAGAATTGTAACTATTAGTCACACTTTATAGATTTTTACATGGTTTTCAAAAATCTTTAGATGCCAACATTTCTAGAAAATCTGAAAGATTCTGTTGCCCTTGGTGTTTGGGGAAAATGTGTTTGAAGATCTCTTCTTTCTGGTTCTCCTCCTACCTCATGGTCTTGTCTAACATCTTAAGCATTTTTGGCACACCTTCTTTTGTCTTGGCTGCTACTGATTGTCCTTACTATCTTCTTGATCACCCTTGACTCCCCAGTCATTCCTGAAATCCTCATGCATATTAAAGAAGGCTGTTTTACAAATCTCCCTGCTTTTTAAATTTCACACAACAAATACCACTTCCCGCCAAAATTCTTTTTAAATGTTTCCAAAATAAGGACTCAGCTTTACAAGTAAGGACGCTTATGATTTGGAAATCTCAAGTGCTTCCCATCCATCCTAAATAAAGAAAACATGTACTGGTGTATGAAGTATTTTCAAATTTATTTTACCCTAACTTTCTAGACTGACACAGAGGTGTGCATTTCTAAAAGACTTGTTGCATAAAGAGTTACAGCCTCACTTGTTTGAGAGAGAGTAAAATGGACAGCAAAACAGAATCATAGCAAAGTGGAAACACAATATCAAAGATGATGATCTTGATCACAGCACTGGTTTGATTCCCTCCACCTGTGTTTATTTTAGCCATGCTTTTAGATTGTAGGAAAAAACAAACCAGTTTCCTTATTTTGGAATAAGGACTGTGAATCTGAACAACTCCTTGCTGCAAGGCTCCAGGTTCCTGGTGGGAGATAAACTCATAGATCAGAACCAATTTCCTTGAAAAAGTTAAATCCCAAGTAGTAACTTGGGCAACATGACACTCAGTTTTGGTGGAATTAACTGCCTTAATTGTTAGAATTAAAACTAACACTGAAATCTCTTTAACAATATTTCATAGCCTGCAAGTTATGCTCATGGTTTTTCAAAGTTTTCCCTCCATCCAATCTTTTAGAAGTACACATTTTTTTCTGAACTCAACAGTACTTGATAGTCACGTGCCACCTTATGGATTATTTTTCATTTTTGTCACGTTATTTTAACTTTTAGAGTCATACCTCTGGAATGAAAACTGTGACCCATTTCATAAGTTGAACCAATCGTTTCATTTTTTATAGTTGCCTCCCCAACTATATTTTAAGCTCCTTGCAGGTAGGACATGTGCCTTACATTTTTTAACTAGTATTCAGCCCTAATGATACTTGATGCACGGTAGTATGATTAACTGATTATAGTAGGGTTGATAAGATTAACTGTTGAATGATCATTGTCTGTGCTGACCAAAAAAACAAAAACAACACCTTTAGAACTATTTTTTTTTTTTTTTTTGGCATTATTGAGGATTGAACACAGGGATGCTCTACCACTGAGCTTCATCCTCATCCCTTTTTATCTTGTATTTTGAGATAGGGTCTTGCTAAGTTGCCCAGGCTGTCCTTCAACTTGCCATCCTCCTTGCCTTAGTCTTCTGAGTTTCTGGGATTATAGGCGTGTACCACCTGCAAGGTTTACCTTTTAAATTATTTTATGATGCATGTACATATTCAAAAAATGCATGATTAAAATAATAGAAAATACTCAAAAATTTTAAAACTATTTATCTATTACTTTACAACCCAAGCTAAGCAATTAAAAAAGGTATCTAGATGACCCCCATCAGCATACTTTGTAGATTAATCATTTGACTTATAATTCTCATCAGTCTTTGTTCTTAAAATAACTGACATTTTTGCATCATTAGAGAAAGACAATGTTGTCATACCAAACAGACTATTTTTAAAGATGGGTTTTGGCTTGCAAAGGCATGGCATACCTAAAATATTAAAGCGGTGTGGACTGGTAAGTGCATGCCATTCATTGGGTCTTGACCACTTGTGCCAAGTCCTTGAGTACATTTAAGAGACAGAGGAATAATATACTCCATAAATTTTTCTAGTTTTTAAAGCAACATTTAGAATAGAAGGCGAAAATACAATTCTGTACAGTTTAAAGAAGATTTACAGTCTCCCCCCCCCCACAAAAGTATTAACAGAAAGAAAATATGCATTCGAGAATGCTTACATGGGTCATGAAAAGTACCTTCATAAAGAAGTGATAAAAGGAAATTCAGGAGGAACATATAATTTCTATGCTGTGTATGGTATATTTTTCCAGTAATACATTCCAGTGTATTGCAAGGAGAGCTATATTGGATGGGCTGGAATTTGTGACTACCCTTTATGGAATTCGGAACTAAAATCTAAAAAGAGATTCAGTTAAAAATAATACAAGTAGAGCTTTTCTAATTATTTCCATAATTGAATTTAGTCTGGGTGATATAGTTCAATCAAGGAAAGAATGTAAAAAATAACATTTTAAACCCATAGGAAGCATTATATTCCAAGGGTCACTTTGAGTGCTGAGATCTAGGTAGCAGTTCATTCTTTGCAGTCCACAGACTTATTTTTAGAGCAAGGGCATAGTGTTTTGCCACATCATTGCTAAATGTTGTTTTCAGAACGTAAGCTTTAAAATTGTTATCCTGGTCAGAGAGTGAAATCAGTAGTGCCTATTTTAGACCTGCTCAGAAGAATATAACTCAATACAGTGTCTTACTCTTGCTGATCAGAGGTTTTGCAGACTACCTTCTCAGCCACATCACCTTTAAAGGATGGTACAGTAGAATTTTATCTGATGACTATGGGATTTGTAGCTTCAAATAAATATTATAGTCTTTTAAAAATGGAGTGTTGAAAGGAAAATTGCCTTTTCATTTTTATGTATTAAACATTAGTTTTAACTTAAATTTTGTAGGGATAAATTTTGGTTATTAGAAAGCAAAGGTAATCTCTGCTTTTTAAGATGTTCTCTAAAACTTAAACTAAATTTAAAATCTTTAAGCTTTAAAAAATTGTACGCTGATTTGTTTAGATGTTTTAGTAATATCAATGGTTTAATATGGCTCTAATGCAAGAAACTGGTTTGAACGGAGAGTAATGTTTAAAGAAGTTAATTATAGGTGGATTAACTTCAGTTTTCTATATTTTCCCATTATCTTTTCAACAAAATGTTTCTTGAACTATTTTGGATCCAGAAATGAAAGTGCACTGAGAAATGTTAGTTGAATGTGTAAGAATACTGCTTGTGAATAGTGATTAGGAGAGAAGACCTGTTCCACCACTCAGTCTCCCTACTTTCTTACTTTCTGTCCACTATAGAATGAGACCTTTAGGTGGACCTACTAAAGATGAATTAATATTTCTCAGCACCCCCATAGAACTATACCTAAGTTTTTTTGGTTTGTTTCTTATTCTTATATTGTTATTAAATGTTATAAATATTAGTGTTATGGTTATCAGTTGTTAAGCTATCCAACAGTATTGGGGATATGTAATTTTGTTGAAATGCTTTTATAAAAATTCATGATTTTAAGGGTAATGTCTATGTAAGTTAATTATAGGTGGATTAACTTCAGTTTTCTATATTTTTCCATTATCCTTTCAACAAAATGTTCATTGAACCAAGTCTTTTTTTTTTTTTCATTTAGTTTGGTTCTTTGAGTAATGGTTTTGATAAGTTGAGAGATTTTTTTACCAAGTGATATTCTCCTGCTGCAGACACATCTCTAAGTAACTCAAACATATCAGGAAGGTCAATTCAGTTTACTTTTGCTAATCATTGTTTTTATTCAAACTTAAATAATTTTGGATGTTGATTTTGTTTTTCTTGAATTTCCCTTCTTAAATTAGGATTCAACCACCACCATGTCGAGCAAAAGGGCAAAGACCAAGACCACCAAGAAGCGCCCTCAACGCGCAACATCCAATGTATTTGCCATGTTTGACCAATCACAGATTCAGGAATTCAAAGAGGCCTTCAACATGATTGACCAGAACAGAGATGGTTTCATTGACAAGGAAGATTTGCATGATATGCTTGCCTCACTGGGTAATGCTCAGTTTTACTATTAATATACTGAATAGAATTTCCATGAAGCCTTTCATGTTTATTTTGTGATTCTTAAAGCTCTGTGAAGCCAGTTTAATGTCTATTAGATTCAAATAAAGTCCCACATGGACACCTGCAGATTATTATTCCTGTCTTAGAATTGGAGTGGGCGCCTGCAGATTATTATTCCTGTCTCAGAATTGGGGTGGGCGCCATGTGTGTATGTTGGTGGGAGACACACTGGTCTTGAGTATGAAGCAGTACTATTCTTTCTAACATCCTAATGGAATATTTATAGTCTCCAAATTCTTAATTTAGGCTGTATTCATTCCAAAGACTTTTTCTCTAAAAAGTTTGCTGTCATGAATGCAAACAACAAACTATACAAATGATCATCTTTCTTGTCAAAATGTTTACTATGATTAATAGCTGATATGCTTCATAGTATACTTGAAATTATGATCCTCTCTTCTTTTTATTTTTGTTGTTGTTTAGGGAAGAATCCCACTGATGAATACCTGGATGCCATGATGAATGAGGCTCCAGGACCCATCAATTTCACCATGTTCCTCACCATGTTTGGTGAGAAGTTAAATGGCACAGATCCCGAAGATGTCATCAGAAATGCTTTTGCTTGCTTTGATGAAGAAGCTACTGGTAAGTCAGTGGTAATCTTTAATTACAAAGTGATTTGATTTTTAATTATAATACCTGATATATAAAATAACCTAAAATGTGATAAAACCTTTATGTTAATACTACCCCTACTTTTTTGAACAGGGTTTTCCTGGAGTGCCTTTATCACTTATTATACTCTCTTTCCTTAAATATTAGTAATTTATAAAATTTCGTAGGTTGTATTTGAGATATCTTTGGGAAACTTGGGTTACCTCTTACTAAAATGTTAATTCCAGAGGGTTAGGTTCCCCGCAAATATGTGTAGAATGAGTAACTTTGGTGAGAACAATCTTGTGTAAAGTATATATTTGCCACAGTCTGTGGCACCAGTAGAAACCTGTTTGCTTACCAGGGATCTCTGAACTCTAAATTTTTTTAAATCTGCTAACTTCTTTTTAAAAATAAACCAAGCAGAGTTTATGCTCTGGAATCAGACTACTGGATTTCAGGTTCCTCTTCTGCAACACACAATAGCTGTCTAATTTTGTGCCATCTACTTAGCTTCTCTAAGCCTTGGTTTTCTTTCTTTTTTTCTTTTTCTTTTTAAATGTTTTCTTAGTTGTAGATGGACACAATAACTTTATTTTATTTGTTTATTTTTATGTGGTGCCAGGGATTAAACCCAGTGCCTCACACATGCTAGGCAAGCACACTGAGCGACAACCCTGGTCTTGGTTTTCTTTTTTTTTTTTTTGAAATGGGCATTAATATTACCTACCTCATAGGGTGGTTGTGAGGACTAAATGAGGAAGTAGGACAGTGTGCACACTGACTAGCATAGAGTTGACTCTCACAAAAACAACGCATTAATTACATAAATGTTTGATCCTTTGGCAGAAGTACATATAAGATAAAACACAAAGGGAATATTTTCCAAGATTCCCAACTCATGGAGGAGGAACATTGCTTAGACTAGTTTCAGTGCTGGGTGGTGGTCTGGGCCTGCTGATGCCAGCATTGTCTCCTTACTCTGGCTTCCAAGGCTCCCCACAGTATGGTTGTTTTCTGCCTTTTCAAGGCACCCTCCACTCTTGTATTGTCTCCCTAACTTCTTTCCAAACACATTTATGCATTGTTATGCTGACTTTCATCATTTCTTCCTCTGCCTTTCTTACCATACCACCTCTTCTTTCTGCATTTTCAATGAAGATTCTTAATTTATTTCTGGAAGGAGTAGAATGTAGGAAGAATATAGGCAGAGGAGGCTTACCTTTTTGACTCCTGAAGACACCCGTGTATTGTTTGAATTTATTGTGAGCAGTTTCTACTTTTTTAATGGAAGAAAAAAAAATTGTAAAAGAAGAAAAGGTTTTATGTGTTTTTCATACCCATCTCAATGGTCTCATCCTTTATGGAGCCTTGCCTGTGATTTCTTACTGTTTTTTCCTGGCTCCCAGGAAAGCAAAAAGCTTCTCCATTCCTTGTACGTATCTGTATCTCTTTTGCGGCACACACACTATTTGACTTTATATTTTAGTTGTGTACTTGTTCCCAATAATTACAATTTCTTCCCACTTCCAGAGTAATTGCTCTTTGTCTTAAAAAGTATTTCATTCCCATCTTTGTAGCCCTTGCACACAGTAGATAATTAGTTATGGAATTGTTGAATGACTTGACTGGAGATGAGAATTTATTTCCACAAAGCTAAAATTCCAAAATAATGCCAATATAAGAAAGTAAATCATAGGTGACATTTGGGAATTTGTTTCCGTGTTTTATATTTACAAGTATTTATATATTTATTGTTTTAGGCAGGCAGGGTCTGTCTCTCTTAAGAGTCTCTCTATGTTGCTCAAACTAACCTTAAACTCACAGTCCTCCTGCCCTAGTCTTCTGAGTAGCTGAAACTATAGATACTATGCCCAGCTGGCAGGCAGGTTTTATGAAAACCTTTGTATCAAAAACCCACAAGTAACTGGGCATGATGGCACATGCCTGTAATCCCAGCTACTTGCGGGGGCTGAGGCAGAAGGATCACAAGTTTGAGGCAGACCTCTGCAACATAGGAAAACCCTGTCTCAAAATAAAAAACAAAAGGCTGGGGTTGTAGCTCAGAGATAGAGCATCTCTGGGTTCAACCCCCCAATAGTGGGTATGTGCACGTGCACACACATATACACAAAACCCAGAGTAAAAAAACATACCTTTCAGCTCACCCTTCACATCCCAATTACCTAACACAGGGTCAGTGACATACTTTATGCACCAGTATTTATTCCATGTTTTTGCACATTCTAGGCTTGGCCATGTTTGTTATCATTATAAGTTAGATTTGTAAACATAAAATTTTCCTTTCACATGTGAGAAAACCAAAGAGGTAAAGTGTAATACCTGAAATAATATAGCTTGTTAAACTGGGCTTTAGGACTCCACTATTCTTTCAACTAAAGTATTTTTATTGACGTTCATGATGCGGTATTGATTTTAATGTGGCAGGTGACCGCTATTTGCTTGTAGCATAGGCATGACCATTCGTGCCATTTCAAGGAGCCATGAGGCCTAGTTTCATTAGTCACACCATATTACTTTTGTTTAGGCATAGGTTTAGTTTCTATTATAAAGAGATCAGAAGAAGGATGTGGAGGCAGGTTAATAGAGCAGTGCTGCGAAGTAGCTGGATATTTTTCTAGGCACCTGTCTGCCGAGGTTGCCAAAAGCAGGTGGAAACCCCATATCTAATTTATTTGTGTGTTTACAGTTTCTTAACTTAAACAGTATGTGTAGTCAAGTGTAGATAGGCCTTGTAATTAGTCTCAGTAATATGTATTCTGATCCCCTGTTCTTTATTCTCTAGGCACCATTCAGGAGGATTACCTGAGAGAGCTGCTGACCACCATGGGTGATCGGTTTACAGATGAGGAAGTGGATGAGCTGTACAGAGAAGCCCCTATTGACAAAAAGGGGAATTTCAATTACATTGAGTTCACGCGCATCCTTAAACATGGAGCAAAAGACAAAGATGACTGAAAAGATCTTCAAATTCCAGACAAATGTTCCTTGTTGCCACTTTGGGTATTTCTGAAATTTTTCTCTTAGAGCCTATTGCATGCCTTTTAGCATTACAGCTTTTGCCTTTCTTGTTTTGTATTTATTCTCAGCCATTTTGAGGCTCATGTATCTTTATAATCAGACTGGAAATGGGACTTTTTGTCATTTTCAGAATAGAAAATAGGGTAATTTAAGTTACCATTGCCCTCACCCCCAATAACTGCAGTCTACACAGAGTCAATATATTTTTTCAGAGAAAGTTATTCAACTCAATTTTTTCTGAACCATGATTAAACTTTATGATAAAATACTGACTTGTTTTAACTTATTATTTACCAAAATTGGATTTTGTTAGTTTTAGTTTTATGTTTCAAAGAAAGATGGAAGAGGTAAATCCCAGAAAATGATAGGCTTGCCAGACCCCTCTTATATTCCCTTCAGTTTTCCTAACAGTCCTATCTTCTCTACATTCATTTTCTCCTCCCAAGGAAGTATAATTTTAACTGTCCTAATCAGGTTTCCTGCACTTTGTCTTCCAGTTTTTAAAATAATTTCCTGTAGAATTTGTATATAGTGACACTGTAGTAGCTTTAAGTTCTTAAGTTTGATGTATCTGTTTTATGTGTCCCCACTTTATCTTCTAAGCTTTTGTACATTATTTTATGTCATTTAAAAATAGACTAGATCACTGAGCATAATTTTCATTTGTCCTATTTTTTAAAAACGATTTTAGCTCAAGAGAGTCTATGGAATGCTTTTATCAAAAGACAGATTTCTGTGTGTATTTCAAGCTGTTTAAAATACAATATAGTATTTTTTATTGTATATGGTTTTTCTTTACTATAGCAACCCCAATTGAAAGACCATGTTTGTTTATGCAGAGATTCATCATGAGTCCATTTATAAATTTTAGACATTCCTGACCTGCCCACAATCAAAACAGCTGAAGCTACATGCCTGGGAAAGTGAGGTCATTGTTTCAGTCCTAAAAATAACTTCTGGTATTTGCAGAAAAACAGGACTGTTTCAGAGTTAATCAGGGAGTGGAAGACTGTTTCATTCTCTTTAAGTGTTAAAAATCTGAAAGTGTGAAAACTCTGAAAGATTTGAGTTTAAAAGGATTTGAAGGAGGAGGAGAGTTGAGTGAAAACAGTCAAAATTACCCTACCAAGATAAATAGTTGAAAATTACTCTAATAACTTCAAGTTTTATGCTACTACTAACAAGCTTTATCCTTGAAGAAAACCATTACCTCATTCAGTGAACAGTGAATGCCTGTGGGCAACAGACCTTTGTACTCAATAGGACAGAAAGGGAGATCCTTTAACATGGTAAGGACAGCTATATAGAATACTAATAGAAGACTAGTAATAACTAGTCTTTTTCCCCTTCAAGATCAGAATTATAGAATCTGCCTTAATTCTCTGAATGAATCTCATTCAGTGATTTTAAAAAGTATATTTTTGCCCAGCTATTGCCATTGTGCTAAAATCTTGAAAAAATTATCACCTCTGCTTAGTTAACAAATCTCCAGTGAAGAATAAGTAACATTATTTCCTCTGGGGGCGGGGGACTACTAAATTATCTCTTGCAGTATCTCCATTTTCATTTTGGATAACTGTTCAAAGACTCACCCTATGTTAGAAATAGTGGATGATTTGGCCTGCATGAAATAAGTCGGCCAGCTTAGTAATAGCATTCTCTGCTTAGTAACTGGGCTTTGCTTAATTCAGGGTGATTACCAATAAAAAGCTGAAAGCATCTTTTCGCTAACAGTGACTTTGACAGTTCCTAAAATGTTTCCATGCTGAAAATTATCTTGAAACAAACTGTTTCAAGAGTTCTCATGATCCAGGGGCATGCCTGTAATCCCAGTGACTCAGCAGCAGGTGAGGCAGGAGGATTGCAAGTTGAGGCCAGACTCAGCAATTTAGCAAGGTCTTGTCTTAAAACATTAAAAGGCAGGGGTGGTGGCTAGGGATATAGCTCAGTGGTAAAGCACCCCTGGATTCCATCTCTAGTACCCCCCCCCCAAAAAAAAACCCTATTGATGAAACCAACCCAGAGGTGGCAGGATCACCATCCACCTGCTTATGATTGTGTTGCCATTTGGACATAATCTTCACACTTAAAATGTATCTAATACAACAGGGACTGAATTTTACATTAAGTTTAAATAGCAACATGTGGTTAGTGATGATTAGGACAGTTTAGAAACTTAAATACAGAGCTCAAAGTTAATGTATAGGCAGGAAGTATACTTCAGTGGTAGAGTTTGAAGCCCTAGGCTTGATCCATAGCACACAAAGTATAGTCAGGGTGATTTCAGCTATGAGCTTACATTTACCAGGGTAAAGGCTTATGAAGTAGTAATAGACGATATTTGGCTAACAGCCCTTTGTGGGTGTTTTTTTTTTGGGCGGGGGGCGGTGCTGGGGACCCAACCTAGGGCCTTGTTCATGTTGGACAAGTACTCTACCCCTAGGTAATAGATCATACTTGGAAGAGTTCTGTGATAAAGACCTAAGAAGTCAAAATCTGATGAGTGTAAAGACAGTTACTTAAACTATCAAACAAAGGGCAAACTTCAGCTAAGGAAGATTTAAATGTTTAGAACCAGGTGTGACTTACAGCATCAACATCACCTGGGTGCTGATCAGAAGTGCAAATTATTCTCAACTTCTGGCACTGAATCATAATACTGGATTTTGAGGCTCAAGAAACTTTTAACAGCCTTTCCAGGTTATTTTCCATGCTACTGTTTTAAGAACTACTTGTGTAGAGTGCTGAACACATAGTTCCTACCTTCTAGGATTTAAGATATAGACTTCTAGAATATAAACTCCTTAAGGGAAAAATAATTCAAATTATTCATCTCCCCAGCATCTGGCACCTGTGTAGGCAGTAAGAAGAGTTGAGTAAAAATTGGCTCTTAGGCTGACCATTCTCCATTGTTTTGAAATAGTGCTATTCCTTTAATTATTATCTTGACGATTATAGCCACAAAGAGTATGTAGAACAAAACCTGAATTATGTAGCTTCCTGTTTTCCATTTGTTGACCAAGAGCATTGTATATATGATTATACGTGTGTGAGTAATAATTTTAATTTAAACAAAACTTTGTTATGTTTAAAAGGAGGAATGAAACAGTTGTGTGGCCTGATAAGACCGTACACCTTATTATTTGACGGTAGGTCCTAGCATGCGCGATTCCCAACACTGCAAAAATTAATAAATAGAATTTAACTAAGAATAATAATATTTTGAAGGTAGGAAAGGAGTAGGGCATAAACGACTTTCCTTGGGCTGGAATGTAGTTAAGGGATTCCAGAGTTAGCAGGAGCGTGCCTCTTGAACCTTCTCATAGTGCATAGAACAGACCCTAAAAATGATCAGAAACTCAAATTGAACTATGGTAACTGTACTTTAATTTGCTAAATCTGTCAACCCTGGGTGGGCCGCTTCCTGCGGGGACCCCAAACTGGGCGGATCAAGGCCCAGGCGGGTCAAATTCCAGCGCAGTGTCCCGGGCCCTGCCCCTCGACCCCGCCCCACGGCCAGGAATGCGGAAGGACGGTGGGGACCGGCCGCGGGAAGGGGGGGGGGCACGGGGTGGCCGCCCAGCCGCACGGGGGCTTGCCGCGACAGACCTGGACAGGAAGGAAGAGACCACTAGGACCCGGGCTGTGTGCGTGCAGCCCCGGCAGCCCCAGGCCGGGCCGGACCCCCGGCCAGCACTGTCCTGCGCGCCACGCTGACCGCACCCCTCTCTCCCTGTTGGAGCCGCCGCGCCTTCCGGTGCGCCTTCCGCCCCGCCTCCCTAGGCAGGAAGTGCCGGCTCCGCCACTGTCCGACCACAACCCCGCGCTTGTCGCCGTCGCTCGTCGTCTAGCGCAGGGCATCCCGGATCTGGTACCTGGCGCCGGGTGAGTGGCGCTCGGCCTCGCGCGTGACACCCCTTGGTCTGCATGTGTCCCCTCCGGCTGCACCCTGCTGCCTGACCGGGTTGCTGCGCGGCCGGGTGGCAGTCGGACCTGTCAGGTTGCCGGGGAAGTGGCTCGGGGCTGGAGGTGAGGGGAGCGGGGTCAGCAGAGAGGCCCTGGTAGCGGCCGGGGCTTGTAAGTCGAGGACCCGGAAAACTCCGAGGCGGATGAAGCTGGGCTGGGGAGACAGCCTTCTGGAAGAGATGGCCGGGTCCCTGGCGCTGAGTGGGCCGGCCCTGCGTCACCTGGATGACTTCACACCTGGTGCCTGCACCTGCCCTCCCGGCCCCGCTGCGGGCCCAAGCAGTGGATTAGGGCCAACAGCGCGTGGGGCTCGGCTCTGTGGCCCACACGGTCCTGTGTGTGCATTGGGGGATACAGGAGCCCGTCAGTGCTTGGCTCTTGCCTAAGATAAAGTGTTCAGGGAAACTGTTAGCGCACCGGTGCCCGACCACGATCAGCGTAGGCTCCTGTGGAATAATTTCCATGGGAGTTTGAACTCTCGCTGTTTTTGTTTTTTGTAAAGATTTAGTTCATCGGTGTTGATTGAAGAAAAGGACAATTAAAAGAAATCTGGAAAAGCTTCCTTGGAAAGAATCGTGACCTCAATGAAGTCCTTGATTAAGCTCTAGGGGGAACTTAAAATTTCTGGCTAGATCTGTCGTAGGAGATAACAAGAGCAAAAGCTCTACGGGTGGGAGTTCTGTCGTGTGAAAAGGAAACAGTGGGGAGACCAGCCTGAGAAGAGCACCACTCTAGTGAATAACAGCTGGAAATAAGAGTAGGTGGTTGAGGCTGGGTGTGTAGCTCCGTGCTAGAGCATTGTGTGTGAGGGGCTGTGGGTTTAGATCCCCAGCACCACAATAAAATGAGGGTAGTTAGGTAAGTGAAGCCCTTTTATGGATGTCTTGAAAACTTGACAAGAAATAAAAGATTATGTAAGATGCCTTAGGGAATCGTTTGGATTCTTCAAAATGGGAGTAACATGAAGAAAGGGGCACCTTTAGGGGATTGGTTTGACACTTTTTGTTGAAGATAGAGTTGGCCTTTGGTAAGAGAAGAACCACATAGCATTTTAGAATTTAATAGGACTTTCATAGATTATTTCAGTAAAACCCTTTCATTTTATAATTGAGGAAACTGACACCAGAGTTAAGTAATTTGACTATGGTAACTTAAGGAATTCATATGGTGCCACCCCATTTCTCCGTAAACTTCAGGTGCACCCTCCTAGACTTCCTAAGAAGTAAGTGTACAGCTTTTTATTTGTTCAAGCTCTGTTAAATGAAACAACTTGTATGTTGGATGACTCAGTACTCATTTATGCTTTAATGAAACTGAGTTTGGACAAGATGAACTGCTCTACTTCTGAAAAACATTCCCAAGTGAGGGTGGCCAAGGTTAGGAAAGACTCCTAAAGAAGATTTAGAAACCTTAAATGGAACTAGTTTTCCATTCTCCCAAGAATGAAAGACACCAGATAATCTAGGGATGAGTTGCATTATACTCTATTTGCACATGGGTGGTTCGGTAGTAGAATTCTTACTTCCCACGTTTGTTATACACTATTTGCCAACATCATTGATTAGGATCTTCCTAAATTTACTTGTAGGGGCAAAGGGAACTTCCCTTCTGCTGAAACAAACACTAGGTGAACAGAAGGAAAGGCATACAAAATTTATTTTGTGGAAGACAATAGGGAAATGAGTATTCAATAACTTAATGAGGTTTAGAAGCTTAAATATCCTATTCATAGGGAAGGGAGGGGGGACATAGGCAATTTTAGAGGAAAAGGAAATGATTTTTAGAGGAAATGAATTATCATGAAGAACAGACAGTAATATCCCAGGACAAAGTTCTTCTGGCTCTGGGTGTGGTATCAACTCTAGTCTTCTTTCCACAGAATTTTCTTTGTAAGATGAGATTGTAGGGAGGGCAACTGAGACAACTGCATTCCTTGTTTAAGAACTTTCATAGTGGGATGAGGGAACCTAAGAGACAGCCACTCACTCCCTTTGCTTCTAGAGAGAAATAGAACCAATATGGAGAATGGAAGTCACAAGAGACTTTGAAGCTGCTTCTTCACTTCAAAGTACTTAGCATGTCAAACACCATAATTTGAGGTATCATTTTCTGAGCACCAACACACGTATTAGCTATGTGGAAGCATTACCTCTTACTCTCATGATGGAGAATTTCAGCCGCCTATATGCAGGATATTAGAGGCTAGTGGTACAAGCTTGAAGCCAGATGTCCTGAATGTAGATCCTGACTCTTAAATGCTACCATTTTCGGGCTCTGTGGCAAGTTGTTTATTCCTTTTTAAATCCAATTTTCTCATCTGAGAAATAGTGATAATAATAGTACCTCTACCATAAGTTGTTGTGAGGATTAAATGTATTAGTACACGAGAAATGCTTAAACCAGTGCCTGGCACACCTTTAATATTCAATTATTGTTCTATTAATAACGTTCCTGCCAGGTATGGAGCAAGGGGTAGCTTTTAAGTTTTGTTAAGGATCTCTTCAAGAAGATCAGTAGAGTTTCTGCTGACCTTACTTTGGAATTAAGATCCAGGACCTACCTTATAATAAACATGTATATAGTTGTGGTAGTAAGGAAACATGTATTTGCTTAGCTAGTATTTATTGAGCACTTACTATGTGCAAGGTACTCTGCCAGGTACAATCCAAAATGCAAAGGCAAAGGTCCTTAAAAATGTATTGGTGAATTGCATGGCAATGTAACATTCTGATCAATAAGAATGGTGTCTTAGGTTTGATGCCCAGCATAGAAAGAAAGAAAGAAAAAAAAAAAAAAAAAAACAACCATTGATAAACTTGTTGATAAACTCACTGTTGACAATAAAATAGATCAATCTCTCAAAAATATGTTGAGTGAAAGGAAGTCAGGCATATAAGAATATGCACTGTAATTCTATTATGAGAAGTTCAAAGACAGACCAAACTCATCTGTGGATATACAAATTTGAACAAGGGATCCCTGTGAGAGAGGGTAATTGATTTAAAGGGAACTTTCTGGAATGGTGTTAACATTTGTAACTTAACTGGGTTATGTGGGTATAAACCTTTACAAAAATAGATTAAAAGAGTATTAAGATTTGTAAGTTTCATTTTATATAAATTTCACTGCAATAAAACATAATTTGGGAGGACAGAAAGTTTACTGCCAACTAGGACAATCATAAAACTTAGAAAAAGGAATGACAGTGTTATAATGTATATAGTAAATGTTAGAATATATTAAGGGGAAAGCCTACCTGGTGTTAAGAACAGAAAAGTTGTGAAAATTGAGTTTGGGTCTCTAAAAGAGTTATAATTTATGGACTGACTTTTTTTTTTTTCTTCTAAATATGCAGCATAAAAGCAATGTTATGTTATTAAGTATACGAGGTTAATTTTGTGAAATATTTAAACTTGATTATATACTAAATTCTCTTTATGATAGCTGTTTTCAGACTGTTGCTCATGTATCTAGTCATTTTATCCCCTTAATTAGAACAAACATTAATTAGTCTGATTATACTAATGACCATGGGAATCCATGAGAAATTCCCAAGATTCTGATAGACCTTGGTAAAGATGAGATTGAATTAAAAGTGACCTTAAGTTTTAGTTCAAGAACTGCCCTGTGTTTTTCTGTGAATTCCTCCACTCAGGGCCTCGCCTTAGCTTACAAATCAACCTTGCTAAAGAAGACCTGATGAGCATCTTGACCTCTGGGCATCTCAACTACTGTAGATTGGCTAGCACTTGAATTCTTTATCACCTCTTTGCTTTCAAAACCAGCTCCTCTCCTCTTCTCTCCCTAATTACCTCATTTTTTGAGTGGTACCTGTGCACTATGAGTTTTTCAGGCAGTACTTAAGAAAAGCACATTTCAAGGACAGAGCTTTGAAGGAAACTCCAATTAGGAAGCAAAAAACACAAGCAAATCAACAGGATAGCAACCAGAAGAGGATGATGGTGATGGAAATGCTGAGGAAAGATGACTTGAGATTAAAAGCCCCTACAGGGCTGGGGATATAGATCCAGTGGTAGAGCACCTGCCTGGTTTGCATGAGACCCTGGGTTCAACCCCTAGCACTGCAAAAAAAAATTAAAAGAATAAAAAAGAACAGAAGTTGAATAGGAGTTAAAATTTTCTAACCAGAAATAGAAATTTTCCTACCCAGTGCAAACTTGACTGTGGTCCTTTGAGCTTTCTAAAATTCTGTGGCTCTAATTCTGAAATAAAGGCACTGCCCTATTTTAACATTAAAGAGGTCAAGGAAACAGTGGCTTTGTTGGCTTCTGTTGGTATATGAAAGATTATTCCCAAATGTAGCACCTTAAAAAGTAATATGGAGGGGCTGAAGTTATGGCTCAGCAGTAGAGTGCTTGTCTAGCACGGGCAAAGCCCTGGGTTCAATCCTCAACACACATAGAAATACATAAAATAAAGGTATTGTGTCCAATTACAACTAAAAAATATTTTTAAAAAAGCGATATGGAGTTTTTGAATTCCAGAGCAGCTTAGCTGGGTGGTTCTGGCTCAGGGTCTCTCATGAAGTCACAGTCAGGATAGTGCTGGCTATTGGCAGGAGCCTATAGTTCCCTGCCACATGGGCCTTTCCACAAGAAGGGCCACTAGGCCCTCATGACCTAGTGCTAGCTCCTCCAGATTGAGTGAGCCAAGAAAGAGCAGGGCAGAAGCTGCAATGTCTATGGTGACAAAGTCACACAGCAACCCTTTTCACTATTGGAGGAAACTGCATAAGGGCATGAGAATTGTTGTTGAGTGCCATCTTGAAGCCTGTCCTACTACCTTGGCCAAAGGAGTGTGATCAGATGCTCTCATGGGCCAAGGAGGCAGCGACAACTAATAGCAGCTGGGACAAGGACATGGAAGGAGTAGTGGGGTTGTTTGTTGAATATTCATTA